TGGGGTGATCGCAACTATATAAATTCTCACAAGGACAGAGGATGATTCCAACTATATAAATTCTCACAAGGACAGAGGATGATTCCAACTATATAAAGTCTCACAAGGACAGAGGATGAGTTCCAACTATATAAAGTCTCACAAGGAGAGAGGGTGATTCCAACAATGTATACTCTCAAAAGGACAGTTGGTGAGTTCCACACAAGGACAGAGGGTGAGTCTGACGTAAACATTATTTAATAATGATCGTAATTATAGCCTATTTCAAAAGAAACCAGGTTTAACTATAAGGTACAAGCAGTAAACAAAATACTAGGCCTAAACAAAGAGAATAATAGTAATATAGGCCTAGGAACTTACAGTTCTGTAAGATTAGACAACTCATGTACAATTAACTTATCAGAAGCACATGTGAAATACATAAATAAAGAACAAAAAAAGTTTGTATTTGTCTTAAATTTGATCATCGTCTTAATTGACGCCAGTGGTTGGTATATTATGCGAACTATGGCATGACACACTTACCGTGCTTAGAGTACCTTCGATGGCGGATATTTCTCACAACCAGTACAAAAACAACCAGCAGCACTACAACCATTACTATTCCAAGAACTACCAAAGTCGGAACACTCCATGCGTAAGGAAGATCCTGTACTTGAGAAGTAGATTCAACTAACGGCCCAAACTTTTGATTTTCAGAAATCATTTCTCGAGAACTAGCAGCAAACTCGACCTCGCGAAATTTGTGCTTCTTTGTTGGCGTACGTGCTACACCGCCAGTATTCGTCTCCACTAGCAGACTCTGTTGTTTGTTGATCACGGGACCGGAGTGAAGGTACGGGTAGAGTGGCCTAGTTTTGGTTACCCCTGGTATCGCTAGGCCTATCGTGTTGAGGTCGACACACACGCTGTCCTGGTACTTAGTGCACGAGATTAATTCCAGTTCTTCTGGTCTACAGTTAGTGCAGGGGCGACACTGCTCTTGATCACGGTCAAACCACTCTTGCTCGAGTTCGCACTGCGCGACTACTGAGAGATCTGACCTAGAGGGAGTCACTGTTATGAGGACGTATATACATAATGACAGGAGACGGGTTAATCTGGTCATTTTTTCCCTATATAGAATGAATTAATCTTATATGTTTAAGACTGTTCAGCTTGGTATTGCTGTAACATAAATGTTCCTTCAGACAGTCCAGTTCTTATCACACGAGTTACCACAAAAGGAGTGAGTGTAGAGGATTTATCACAGTTCGGACTTCCTTAGTCAACTCTGGATTTTACTCACAGCTGTTTCCGGTACGCACACTGACTCAAGTGGCCAACATTCTTCCCTCATAGACAGCAGAGCCCCCCAGCGTTGATAACTCAGCGTGGGGCATCCCACACGTAGCGGAAAACGTGCATTTCCCGCGTCATCAGATCACTTGCTCGGAATTAAATGAATCAGATGACGTAACGTAATTTCCCAGAAACAACAATCAAAAAGTTAATTCCCACTTCATCGAATGTTGTCAGTTAAAACTCATTTATTGTCTGCTGTGGCTTTAATTCCAAACCTCAGATATTCGGACTCAATTTCATTGAACTTTAAAATGTAAACTTCACGTGAGGAATTCTGTTCACTACCAATAACTGAACATCACGTGAGGAATTCTGTTCATCTGATACTACCAATAACCGAACATCACGTGAGGAATTCTGTTCATCTGATACTAGCAATAACTGAACATCACGTGAGGAATTCTGTTCATCTGATACAACCAATAACTGAACATCACGTGAGGAATTCTGTTCATCTAACACTGACACTAACCGAACATCACGTGAGGAATTCTGTTCATCTAACACTGACACTAACCGAACATCACGTGAGGAATTCTGTTCATCTAACACTGACACTAACCGAACATCACGTGAGGTGTACTATTCACATGGTTGACATATCATTATACGTTAACCCAATTGAAAATACGTTAACCTGATTCTGTTCATCGACAACTGACAATAAATTGACATGACTGTTCATCTAGCAATGACAGCACATAACATCACGGGATTTTGTACATATAGCAATGACAGCAACTTGACACCACGTGACTGACTATTCATCTAACGTTGACAGTAGATTAACATCACATAACTGCTTATTTAGCATTAACGATAGATTAATACAACGTGACTAGGTACAGCTAGAACTGACAGTAACTGGAACTTTTAAAGTATGAAACAAACACTTTATATTAATGCAGCGACAATGAACGTTTCCTTAAAAGTATAAATAATAATTCTCACTGTGTCGCCTTCTGGTGGAATGCTAAGAAATACAAATGATGTATGACTGGCTCTTTATACTATACATCACGTGTATAAAACTACGAGTATGATTGGTTCTTTATGATATACATCACGTGTATAAAACTACGAGTATAATTGGTTCTTTATACTATACATCACGTGTGTAAAAATAAGATTATGATTGGTTCTCTATGCTATACATCGCGTGTATACAACTACGAGTATAATTGGTTCTTTATACTATACATCACGTGTGTAAAAATAAGAGTATGGTTGGTTTCAATAGTATACATCATGTGTGTGTAAAACTAAGGGTATGATTGGTTCTTTATGCTATACATTACGTGTATAAAACTACAAGTATGATTGGTTCTTTATACTATACATCACGTGTGTAAAAATAAGAGTATGGTTGGTTTCAATAGTATACATCATGTGTGTGTAAAACTAAGAGTATGATTGGTTCTTTATGCTATACATTACGTGTATAAAACTAAGAGTATGATTGGTTCTTTATGCTATACATTACGTGTATAAAACTACGAGTATGATTGGTTCTTTATGCTATACATTACGTGTATGAAACTACGAGTATGATTGGTTCTTTATGCTATACATTACGTGTATAAAACTACGAGTATGATTGGTTCTTTATGCTATACATTACGTGTATGAAACTTTAAAGGGTTATATTATATATAACCATCCACACCATCCTATATTATATATAACTATCTACACCATCCTATATTATATATAACCATCCACACCATCCTATATTATATATAACCTTCCACACCATCCTATATTATATAAAACCACCCACACCATCCTATATTATATATAACCATCCACACCATCCTATATTATATATAACCATCCACACCATCCTATATTATATATAACCATCCACACCATCCTATATTATATATAACCATACACACCATCCTATATTATATATAACCATCCACACCATCCTATATTATATATAACCATCCATACCATCCTATATTATATATAACCTTCCACAGCATTCTATATTATATATAACCATCCACACCATCCTATATTATATATAACCATCCACACCATCCTAAATAATATATAACCATCCACACCATCCTATATTTTATATAACCATCCATACCATCCTATATTATATATAACCTTCCACAGCATTCTATATTATATATAACCATCCACACCATCCTATATTATATATAACCTTCCACATTTTGTGTATGTACAGATCTTCTATATCCTAAAATTACGAATAGAAAATCAAACCAAAAAAAAAATATATTTAACAACCACAGCTGGGTTCATCGTTTATTTTTTTAAATTCCCAAAAATTTAAACATGTTTTTTTTTTTTTCGTAAAAACTACAGAAGCTATACATATAGAGGGATCTAATAATTTCATCTGGGGAGTACAAAGTAATACCGTTATCTGGGGAGTACAAAGTAATACCGCCATCTGGGGAGTACAAAGTAATACCGTCATCTAGGGAGTACAAAGTAATACCGTTATCTGGGAAGTACAAAGTAATACCGTTATCTGGGCAGTACAAAGCAATACCGCCATCTGGGGAGTACAAAGTAATACCGTCATCT